TCCCCTATGTGTCGGGCAATATACCATCAGCTCCATTTTTTGTCGTCAACTTTTTCTTAATTGCTTAGGCACTTAGGAGATTGTACAATTTATTTAAATTTCATTTAAACACAACGAAAGTTATAAAAACGTACGTTATTATTGAAGGACTGATTACGTCATTCCGGGAATTTGATGGTAGACCTTCAAAGAATTAACTTCCAACACGTCATCACCTCCTCACTCACTGACACTTACAACAGTGTTCGCGGCAGGTCTTTACGATAGAGCAGGGAATGCTCACCTTTTGCGCGAGCACCTGGTGTCATCACAGATTTTCGGTTATGTTTGTTTCTTTCTTTATTATTTAACGCCGCACTCAGCAGTATTACAGCTGTATTACAGCGGTCTGTAAATAATCGAGTCTGGACAAGACAATCCAGTGACTGACATCATGAGCATCGATCCACGTAATTAGGATACGATGCCATGCACCAACCAACTCAGCGAGGCTGACCACCCGATTGATTCCGTTGGTCGCGTTAAGGCCAGCATCGTTTGAAGCCCATTTCTGGTGTCCCCCGCAGTGATATTGCTGGAATATTGCTAAAAGCGGCGTAAAACCATACTCACTCACTCACTCAATCACTGATTTTCAGTGAATTCATAACTGTCGTGCCTTTTGACGCACTGTGAGTCTGTATTTAAGACTGGTTACTTCTGACGTTGACGTTACATTCCATATTTTAACATGTACTTATGCTAGTAGTTATCCAAAGTGTCATTGGGTACCGTTTCTTTATTCGTTCTTAGCGCTACGACAGTCTAAACTACAATACTTTAACACAGACTTACCATCACTTTGTGGAAAGGGGCTCACTGGACAAGATATTTTTGCCCACCCCTAATCCACTTCCAACTCAGTCCTTGATCTTTGCTATTTACCTTTTACAAATATTGGTATGGTTACTGTGCCCGAAATTGCCACAATTTTGAACAACCCTATACGAATGATGTCAGGTGCACTGTTGTCAATAAATTGAAACCACAGGTTTGAGGTTGGTGCGATGTGAATATCCTGAGAATAAAAGGGGATAACGTGACCGGCCATAAATATCAAAGAGTGAGTGAGTTGGGTTTAACGCCGCTTTTAACATTATTCCAGTTATATCACGGCGTGTCAGCTTAATGCGGGAGGAAAGCTCGAAGTGATGCAGGTCTCAGACGTTTACTACTTCGGTGAAAGCCTCAAGCACGGGTATGGTGCTGGCAAACGTAGAAACAGAATCAGGGCGAGTCGGGATTCGAACCCACAATCATAGGTTTCTGGCGTAGCCAAGGGACACAACTCAGCACAGCGAATCGCGGCGCCTATGACGACTGGGCTGGCCACCCGTGCCCCCGCCATAAATGTTAACCATCTCATTAAAACCAGATCTTAGTTCTCGCTACCGCTAAACGAAGACCTGAGGACGTCTATTTGCCACGTCAGAAAGAACTTTGGCGAACTTTGACCGACCAATGAAATGACTTGTAACAAGGAGTCGATACCAGCCATTTACAAAGCAGCTTTCTCGTGCTTTACGGCACAAGTTTCAAACTGACAACTACCATTCCAGACTACGCTTTGAAAAATATCGATTCAAAAATGAAAACTTAACAAAACAAAATTGCGTAATGTCTAACAGAGGGCCGATATTGCATGGTAGTACATTCCACGGGTTATGGGAAGTTTTTTCCCTTTCAAATGTTTATCCCATGGAAGCGAGAGATAGCCTATGGTTTTGACGGATTCTGTCATAAAGCCCTTAACTGTCGTTCGGAATACCCCGTGTTAACCTTTTTATGGTTGTGTGATTAGAAAACACATCCCGGCTGTCACTTTACCGATATGGTAAGCGACGTTCTTTTTGGATGGATGTTAGGTCGTTCTGACATGACCCTTAATGGGATGTCCTCAGATCTTTGTTTAGTGGTAGCGAGAACTAAGAGCTGATTTTAATGAGGGTGAAATTTTAATACATGTCACGAATACAATGACGCATGTTCTCTTAGAGCCGTGGACACGGGACTGTTCAAAGAGATATTTTAAAAGCTCTTTAATGGAAACTTTTTTCAACCGAGTTCATTGGTATTCTATTTCAGAGGCTGATCATATGTTCATTGAATTTCATATTTTGCATCTTGGCAAGATAAACTTTCTGTAAAATATAAACTGGGGGGCAAAGGAAAGTATACCCAGTTTATTTATATAAGTGAAAATTGTAGGGGATAATTTGAGAATGACCTCTTCCATGTTTGAAATGTAAATTTGTGCAAAGAATGCAAATTTATTGATTTTTCAAAAATAAGATGTCTAAGATATTCATCAATGGTTGTATATTATTATTATTATTATAATTATTATTATTATTATTATTTACAGATTTAAAATTTAATAAAAAATGCAGCAAAGAGGGTTTAGGTGATTAGGCTCATCATCAGCTCAAGACCCTTGCCCCCTCTATACGCAGCCCAGACAGCCAATGGGACTTCTCCCAGGAAGCGCTGCCTAGGCAAGCCCACCCAGAACTTTTCGGAGAATATGTAAACTCCCTAACACTGCAGCCTTCTGCATTACCCAGATTGTCAGAAGGGCTGTATTCCTGGTAGCAAACCAGCGTAAGCGTACTCTTCCAATGTCAGTCAACAGATTGGGAGGTACCAAACCTAAGGCACCGAGAACAATGAGGAGTCGGACAACTTGGTACTTGGGATGCAAGCGTGACATTTCGAAAGCGAGGTCCGCATTTTTGCCATGTTTTCCATCAATTTTGTCAATCACATTGGTGTCGAAAGGGACAGAAAATTCAATGATATAAATGATTCCATTTGATTTATCGAAAAGGACAAGATCAGGTTTGTTTGCCTGGATACGTCTGAGGATGTATACGGGCCTATTCCAAAGGATTTTGTATTTATCATTTTCCATGACGCCCTCCACATATTCCGGGTCGTACCATGGTTGGTTGGTTGGTTGGTTGGTTTGTTGTTTAACGCCGCACTCAGCAATATTCCAGCTATATGACGGCGGTCTGTAAATAATTGAGTCTGGACCAGACAATCCAGTGATTGACATCATGAGCATCGATCCACGCAATTGGGATCGATGACATGCATCAACCAAGTCAGCGAGCCTGACCTTGGATGGACCTCTGTGTCAAAACCACAAGCATTGCGAAGACGGTAATAAAAGGATCGAGCCATTCCATCATGTCGCTTAAGATACTGTGTTTGTGCCAAAGCGGGGCGTCCACTGACAATGTGTTGGACAGTCTCATTAAATTCATTACATAATCTACATTCCATAGTTACATTTTCATGCAGAAGCTTACATTGACGGTTTCGAGTGGGAAGTGACTGGTCCTGTGCAGCAAACAGAAAGCCTTCTATTTCACTTTTCAGGCCAGCCGACTTCATTTAAGTAAAGGACTCTGCAGGGTTGCTGATCTTCTCAAAACACCGCATATAAACTGGATGCAGTGATCGTTCAGATAGCCTGTCCTTGAAACACGGAGTCTGGGCCGACTTGATACGGCACTTCGCTTGGTCGACACTCATTTCCGTACCGACCAGCCGTACACAACTATCAACAAAATCAACACTGACATTGAGATTATGTCCCACACCCTTGGCTCGTTTAAGTAAACTATGGAATGCCTTGTTTTCATCATGAGTCTTGACATGCTTCACAAGAGGATCACCAGACAAATAAATGTGTGCAAAAGTGCACAAAACAAAAAATAATGATAGATAAATATAAGCGATTGAGGGAAGAGCGAGGGTGGTGGGATCTATTGTCTGACATGAGGGTGTCAGCAGCCTGAATTTCTTGTTTCGTCCAATCAACAACACCAAAAGAATATTGGTATGTACAGCATAAGTATTTGTGGCTTTAACTTTATTGCGAGCATTCAGCACTGAACTCCAGATTTTCTTAAGCCTACATTTATTATTATTATTATTATTATTATTATTACAAGTTTTATGGCTCATATGACGATATATAGAGGTTATATTGTGTTTGGGGACGGTAAACGTCGTGTATTAGGAACGTACATTGTATTTAGCAAACCATGACGGGTGTTTGTTCCTAATACTAGATATCTACGATCCGAAAACATAAGTGCAGTAACCGCTTTTGTCATATAATGTCATTTTGAATTCTATCATCCAAATAAGTATTTATACATGACGTCACAATGTCAGTCGGACAGTGAAAACAGTCAATATAGTTCCAACTGATATTTGTCATTTAGAAGTGACGTAATTACCATATTACCATATAGGCAAAAAGACAATTGCCTAAAGATAACTTTGCAATGTCAGTGATCGCCTTTAGCGGCAATCCATCGTTCCTCCCACAAGAGTAAAACGTCACGGGGTTTTTAAGACTGACTGTACTGTGATAAGGTTTCGTAAGGGGGTTACGAAATGCCGTCAGATGTCCTACACATCGACAAAACAACACAAGGTGAATGTCGGACATATTGCGGACAAATCCAACTGGTTTTAGTTCGTGAAAATACATCAAGCCGCAGAGGTCTACAGGCACAGGTACGGCCCACTATCGGAATTGAAAACCCGGCCGTCATCGCTAAATGACGGCCTGCAAAGTTGCATACACTTATGAAAGGCGTCAGTTACGCCGATTTTAGAAACCGATTTTCGGTATCTCAGACCGATCGTCAATTCTGACTCGATCCCCGACAGACAAGTGCGACGCCATATTTGTTTGTAAATACTGAAAGTAGTGCCTACCTGGCCTTCTATAATTGCATATTTACTGTAAATGACGGATACGTTTGCTATCGGTTGGCTTTAACCTTCCGAGAAACGTTGCCATTATATGATAAACGTTCATGTATGCAGACTGTATAGCCGTATACGTTTGTTGATGAGCAAATTCCTCTCTCTCTCTCTCTCTCTCTCTCTCTGTCTCTCTCTCTCTCTCTCTCTCTCTCTCTCTCTCTCTCTCTTACCTTCACAGGTATGCAGATAACCACAAGCAAAAGGTCAGCCGACGCTAAGCTCAGAAGAAAGGTGTTGGTGATGTTGCGCATGCGTCGATAACGTAAGATGGAGAAGATGACGAGCACGTTCCCAAGCATACCGCACATCAACATGAGACTGTACAACGTGGCTACTGGTATCAGCTCCGCCAACGGCGGCACAGTCTCCACCGACGACGAATAGTCGTATTGGTATTCATCCGTCGTGTTGTTCATTGTTGTTTGAGTGACAGACATTCCCTTCACTGCTCTGTACTTGTCCCAGAAGCACGTCACCAATACCCCGTCATGCTCTTAACAACTGAACCGGCGTTTGCTATGCCACACATCAGACGGTTTAGGAATCACAACATCTGTCGACTTGTAACTGGCCAGGAATATACTGATATTATTGTTTAAAATGTCAGAGCAATTCATCAAATCAATGATGAGGATATGACGCACTGGCTTCCATTCAATTCAGGCGTATGACGGCTCCGGTGAATCCAGTCTGAATTAAAACAGGTTTCAAAAAAAAAATTAACATTCCAGATTTAACACGGAAATGGACTTGGGTTGGTATTTTAAACCCATCCGTCGCAAAAACCTTCGATCCGATCGACATGTAATAGTTTTCACAAACAAAAGTCAGTTCCAATTAAGATTTTGAAGACTAGGTGTTATTTTCCGTTTCGATTTGACGTTCCAAGTATAGCGCATGTTTGACTTTAAGATTCAGATCTGCATGAGAATTCTGGTGAACGAGACACGAGCAGCATGCATGTTTACTTGAAGCTTTACCATTAGAGAATGGTGTTCGCCAGAAGGTGCCCGGTGTGGTATTGACGCTGTCAGTGGGGTGCCTAGAAGCGTTCTCAGCCACTCGTACAGCTCAACTCCTCTGGTTGGTGCTCCCGCGCGGCCACATTCGCAGAGAAGGCCGTGCTAGACGCGCTGAGATCTATCGCTCCAATGATGGTTCATTAACACATGTTGATGCACACTGCCTGTAGTTGCTGTAATTAGAATGAAACAAAATATACCCTATTCTATTGTGAATTTCGTCCATGTTAATGAGATACATGTTCACAAAAGTGGATAATATTTTCATAATGAAAAAAATAATTGTGACCCACCATGAGATTAGGGACCTCATGGGTAAAATAGCACATTTTGACTTCTTATATATCTTAAAACTACAGTACCTCAGGGCCACAAAAATGCAATTCATAAGCTTCAATTCATATTTATTCCAGACATATATAGCATCAAACATTTAGACTCGCTTTGTAAAAATTCCCATTTTCATAACTGTTTACGTCATGATTGCAGTTTTTATATTTATCTGATTAATTGAAATAGACATGTTTGCTGAAATGTTTTGAAAAAATGTCTTTATCACATTACGAACTATCAGGAGAAGTCATAAAAGATAATTGTGTACAGTCCGATTGCGATTTTTACGGAAGTAAGTTGACGTCAAACGTATTTCTTTATGACGTCACAGCACAAATGTATCCTAGCACCCATTAGGTACCTTTGATCCTGGTGGGTCACCTATCTGAATTGAGGAACTCCTTTGTAGTTGGTGTGTTTGTTGTTTAACGCCGCACTCAACAATATTCCAGCTATATGACGGCGGTCTGTTAATAATCGAGTCCAGTGATTGATATCATCAACATCGATCCACGCAATTAGGATACAATGACATGCATCAACTAAGTCAGCGAGCCCGACCACCCGATCCCGTTAGTCGCCTCTTACAACTAGCACAGTCGCCTCTTATGGCAGGCATGGGTTGCTTAAGATCTAATCTAAAAAGGATCTTCGCGGGTCTTATTCCTTTGTAACTCGACTTGATAGTAGTGTATGTGGTTATTCATTTAGACTTAGGTTTGGTATAACTGTCCTTAAATAAATCTGGAATAAAGTTAAGCATCGCTTACTATACATACTGCTCAAAAGCAGTTAAGAACACCCGGTTATGTAACATAACTATAGTAAATCTGTCCTGTTTTCCAGATACCGCCGCGCTGGGGCGGTCGGGTAGCCTAGTGGTTAAAGCGTTCGCTCGTCACGCCGAAGACCCGGGTTCGATTCCCGACATGGGTACAATGTGTGAAGCCCATTTCTGGTGTCCCCCGCCGTGATATTGCTGGAATATTGCTAAAAGCGGCGTAAAACCTCACTCACTCACTCCAGATACCGCCTCTTTCATATTATGCCATGACTGAATAGTTATATTTTTGTTGTGTTCATTGTAATTCCTGCATTCTGATTAGCTGAAGTGGTCACATGTTATTGTAATCATTTCCCAGTGAATGTAATACATTAAGCCACGCCCATCGAAGCGGACTACTTTTATTACCACGTACGGAATATTGATTAGCTGAAGTGGTCACGTGTTATTGCAATCATTTCCCAGTGAATGTAATACATTAAGCCACCCCCGCCGAAACGGACTACTTTTATTACTACGTACGGAATGTCGGGGAATCCAAATATGACAGACAAGTGAATTTCCTTTCTGCTCACGTGTATTTTCATTGCCCAAACAACCGTTTGAGACCGAAGGCCGAGAAGGAATGAAACAGCAAACGTGCAGGCTCGCTTGCCTGTTTTTTGTCCGCTCGTTTTGGTTCCACAAAATTTCATGTCTTCGGGTTTTTTGTTCTAACCCGCATATTTGAAACTGTGTCTTCCCGTTCTCATGGAACTGATGTTTGAATCTGGCGGTAACTGACCATGTCGTTTGGAAAATGTGTAACCATTCCGCAACGAGTTGACAATTGCGCTAAGACGGAATCCGGTCGCAAAATGCCACGGAATGTATTCCTACGCCTGGAATGTTTAGCAACATCGACATTTTTGTCTTCTTTGATATATACAACCTATTTATAAAACGTCGAGTCTCGACCAGACCAACCACGGATAGTAATTATGAACACCGCCCTGGGAACCCACTCTAATCTGTATCAGTGTGATACTTCAAACGGCTATCTGCCTTCTACACCCACGCAATTCAAATGTTTTAGCTAAAACTATTGGCAAAACATATTTGACGATTACTTGCCCTGTATCTAATTATCAGGAACGTGTTTTTCATTGATTGAGTGAGTGAGTTGGGTTTAACGTCACTTTTAACAGTATTCCAGTTATATCACGGCGTGTCAGCTGAATGTTGGAGGAAAGCCCGAAGTGATGCAGGTCTCAGACGTTTTCCACTATGCTTACAAACCTTGAAACGTTATCGGGCGACAGTCAGAGGTTTTTGGCATGCCAAAGGGACGCAATTCTGCACAGCGAATTGCGGTGCCTCAGACGACTGGGACTCTCATGTCCGTTTTATAATTAGATTATTTTTTTAGAACATTTTAATCCGATGTTCAGATTCTAAACAATTCTAAACAGTGTAATTGTAAAACACGTGTGCTATATTTGTAGCACATGGCGGCAAGGAGAAATCACAAAAGAAATAAATGCAATTATAAACACAAAAGAGTATCATAATGTGTTAGCTATGACGTCACAGCAGAATTGTATCCCAATCTGTTACCTATGCAGTAGTGTCCATTGATCTATAAGCGCATAATATAATCATTTTTAACCGCACAACATACAATTAAGACCTAGTTGTTGTAATCTTTCGAGTACACTGCCATATATTGAATACTGTTTTTAGGTCGAATACCTTTTGTAGGTCGAATTCGGCTTATATGTGGAATGATGTTGCAGATGATAGGTATTCCTGGTCAAACACAGAACCCAGCCAATCATGCTTTATCTTGATTATTACTTGTTTGTTATTCAACGCCGCACTCGGTCTGTGTGTCACCGATTATCGTACCCCCAGGTCAAAATGCTGCGATCTGACTGCTTAACGTGATCTTGATAAAAAAATACGTATTCCCTGGGAGGGAAATAAATTTCTGAGCGGGAGAATAAATTCACTTTTCTTCACCACGAAGCAAAAAAACTGAACCTTACGAGTCACATAGCACAGCCTCACCCCGGCTGAATCGAACAGCTGTATTCTCTCAGTTTTATATTCTTTTCCAATTAGCTTTTACACTTGTCAGAGGGGTACTCAAAGTACGTGATCTAGACTACCAGTTGTCGGACTTTCGTTTTGTGGAAGCATCGGTGGCTGAGTGGGTTAGATCGCTGATTAGGGGCCTCACTCTGGCAAGTGTGGGTTCGGACGGGACTCAATCCCAAAAAGTACGAGCATCTGTACTTAACTAAGAAAGTGTTATCCCAAATATAACATTTGTTAGCTTTTGTTTGTTTGATTGTTCTTAAAATGAGGTATCAAATTGCCATTTGTTAACTCCAAATTAAGCCTTTTCACACAAAACAAAATATCGATCCATATACATTGCTGCCGATAAACCACCAGAACTATATCAGTTTGATATAGTATCATTTTTCAGTGTTTTTCGCGACGATCTTGACGTCCTAGACCGACTTGTTTGACGATGGGATGACACGGCATTTAATTTATATACAAATGATAACGTATATTTGTTGTTGTTAAACTTCGCTCTCAGAAATATTCCAGCTACATGACGGCGGTCTGTAAATAAACTAGTCAGACCACACAATTCAGTGATTGATATCGTGAGCATCGATCCACGCGATTGGGATACGATGACATGACCAACGATCCCGCTCGTCGCCTCTTACGACAAGCATAACCGGCTTTTACGGCAAGCATGGGTTGCTGAAGGCCTATTCTAACCCGGATCTTCACGATTAGCAGATTGATACATGTCAGTAGGATAAATGCGTTGGAGTTGTATCACTCGGGGTACATGTTGTTTTAAACCTCACCCGGGACGCATAAAAACCTCCGAGTGGTATTGCTACACCTTATAGTATGATCCAGTGATTCATATTTTCACCAACGATTCACGCCGTCGGGGTACGATGACCGTCGTCAATCAAGTGAGCGAGTGAGTGAGTGAGTGAGTTGGGTTTAACGCCGCTTTTAACAGTATTCCAGTCATATCGCGGCGTGTAAGCTTAATGTGGGAGGAAAGCCCGAAGTGATGCAGGTCTCAGACGTTTACCACTACGGTGAAACCCACGAGTACGGTATGGTGCTTACAAACCTAGAAACATAATCGGGGCGAACGGGGATTCGAACCCACAATCATAGGTTTCTGGCGTGCCCAAGGGACGCAACTCTGCACAGCGAATCGCGGCGCCTTAGACAACTGGGCCACCCGTGCCCCCCGTCAATGAAGTCACCAACCTGACCATCCAGTTCACATCGTCGTCTCGTACGACAGGCACACGTTACAAAGGACCTTTACTAACGAGTCAACCAAACGGGGTGGCTAGTAATACATGACTATACCCTTACACAGTCAAGTACAGTTCCGTTAACAAAACTTAACGATATAGATTTAATATTGGGTACATACGATTTGTATTATTTTCTATATTTAGTTAGCCATATTGAAAACGCAACTTTCGTCCGTGAAAGTGAAATTTGAGAATTAGCATGTTTGTTTGTTGTGTAACGCTGCACTCATCAATATTCCAGCTATATGACGGCGGACTGTAAATAATCGAGTCTTGACCAGACAATCCAGTGATTGACATCATGAGTATCGATCAACGCAATTCGGATACGATGACATGCATCAACCAAGTCGGCGAGCCCGACAACCCGATCCCGTTGGTCGCCTCTTTCGACAAGCATAGTCGCCTTTTACGACAAGCATGGGTTGTATGAAATTAATGAGGAATAGGTGGGATTTTGAGTTGATTCGACTGAACACCGCTTTGGCCATTACTACACGGCTTGTGTATTGTGGGCGGAAAACTCGAAATAGTGCAGGTGTTAGATGTTAACGCTTTGGTGAAACCCACTGGTGCCATAATCAGGGTACTTGTAATCGAACCACAGATCACATTATTCTGGCCCGCCTAAGGGACGCAACTCTGCACAGCGAATTGCAGCGCCTTAGTCGCCTATACCACCGGTTCATCCCCAACTCTTATATAT